TTTAAGGAAACATTTATTGTGTTGCTAAACTTCTACCCCTCAGAAGCAAACAAACTCACCTCTTTGGACCCTCTCCTTTCATCTCCCAACTGCTCGCTGAGATGCCGCTCTAATGAATAATTAGGAAATCATTAAATTTACCTATAAAACCTAGGAATTTAATTTTCTTTCGGATGTTTGGAAAATAGCCTTTTAGACGTGTGTTTGCAAAGATGGCGTATGATAAGCATGGTGTGTTTTGCTAAGTTGGACATGGAGAGTGCACAGAAAGTTTCTCTTATTCAGGATTATTTTCATACGTGGGCATGTAATTATTGCAATAATGAATTTGTCTACAGTGTGTGTTGGAAAACTCTCTTTGTCGGGTCCCACCACGTGATCTGGTTTGAATTTACACACATCTGTACTGGATTTGGCCATGCCATTTATGCTCTCCAAACGCTGTACCCAGGGTGTTATCAGAGGACTATACATCCAGTCTTCTGATTACACCAAAGGTGTTAAATTACCATGGAATTTTGGATGATTTCAAGCCGCACCCATTAAGACACGGTCATTTTGGAATCTGACAAATAAACTGTATTATTTTTAGCCAATTACAAGCTTGCAAACCAGCAACAAGTCTTACCTGGAGTTGATCGACTGATTTGCAGAGTGTCCGTATCGGCATTTGTCACAGCTTTACTTTTACGTCTGGGAGACCTAAAAGCAGCTACGAATTGTTTGAGGATAAAGGGACTTAAGATATCGAAATATCGAAAAAAAAATTCGAATATAAAAGAAAATTTACGTAGAAACCAGGTCAAATACTTGTTGACCCCTCGATATAATTGGTCAAGATAACTTCCGTCCACGTGAAAAAAGGAGTTAACATGGTCGCCACACTCTGTTAAGACTACTTCTCTCTAAAGCAAAACATTTTTTGGCTGTCGTTGCATTGAAACTTTCCTTTTTGTTATGAGCACAGTGCAAAAATAAACAAGAAACACAAAAGAAAGAAAAACACACCCGCAAAAATGCACAAGCGTCCAACCATGCCCCTGTGTTACGAATGCTGATAAAGGTTTCTCTTAATAGCTTGTCAACAGAAACCTCCACTCCTTAGTTTACGGCAACTGTGTGCGTCAATAGGTATCATTCTGGTGACAGTTCCGTGTCCAAGACACCAATGACATTCAAAATTGAAACTTCATGTATTCATATTTGAAACTGAAACCACCAAAGCGACTCTTTTTTCAAAACTTGTGGACGAAGTTCTATAGTTGATCGTTCTCGCACCCAGTACCTGAATTGTTCTTCAGTGCCTTGTGTGCTATAACACTCTTATCGATCGTCTCCAATGCGTCAATCAGCTTTGTAAACGAATCTTCCTTCCCGTCTTGGCGTTGTTTCCATGTCGTGAGGAATTCCAAGGCTGGTGATTCACTGGATGAGAAGTCTTCCCTCATTCTGGTGACTTCGCCCTCGTTGAAGTCAAGTGCTCTTGCCAGCTTCTCCCATTCAGGACCAATACCTCTCGCAACCTGGTGGAGTATTAATTCTGAGGAAAAGTACCGGCTTGTATGAGATGGCTTTCTATTGGAAAGTGCCGTGGTACGACGAGCTAGAACGTTCAACAACTTTGCTGGCGCTTTTTTTTTTAAAGCCCTTTAAAAATGAGATTGAAAGCATGCGTCTTATTGCAAAATTAGAGCTGTACTTAACATAAAATCTTTCATTTCATTTCTAAAAATCATGCTTAATTTGCTACAATCTGACGAAATTCCATCATCTCTTGTCGAAATGGTATTGTGTGTTTGTCACTGAATTTTGGAGGCTTTACAGTGCCACTTACCTGGAATCTCTTGACAGATGTGCAAAGTCAGTTCACCATAGTCTTCAGCAGTTTCATGCATATCTGTAAAATAATTGTTACCATTTTGCTTTGAAAGTAAAAGGCTTTCAAACGGAAGCTAATCCCATTCAATGAAGTACCTTGGCCTTTGCATACTTTGAAAGAAAAGATTACTTTTAGATAAATGGATGAGAAGCTTGTCTTCTTGTTGTTGATGAGCTTCTAAAGAGATAAAAAGTATTTACAATTGTTACCTGGGTGTACTTGTATACCATTTCCGTTTGCTTCGTCAGCCATACTTTCTCAAGATGGAAGTTTTCTTTCACGTATTTATTGGTTTCATTCAGCTTTGTGTAACCCTGCAAAGAAAATTAAAAACTGTTACAAGTAAATCACTTACCGCACGTTTTAATAATCATCTGTCCTTCATTACGTCGCCTCGTTCACCGTATAGACCGGATTTTAAAAAGCCCTGAGCCGAAAACAAAGTATTTCATGCCGTTGAATCCCCGCCCCCCAGGGACTGGTGTACGGCTTGACGTTAGTTGTATAATTTTTGTTATCAGGAAAAAATAGTGATAAAAAACAAAATGTGAATAGGAGCGACCCCAGAAATCTCCTTTCGGTGTTTCAGATAATTTCATTTCGTTTCTGAGTGTGTAAACCAAACACCAGACTACTGAACTAAAATGATGTAGCTTTAAGAGGGGAATGAAAAACAAGACTTTGAATCTAAGGCTTCATGCTACCAAGACTGAGGCACCAATATGTGCATGTGTGCATGTGAGTGCTCGGTTGACAATGCGACTCGATGAGAGGTCAGACGTAGACGAACTGTGGAGTGTACGAGGATAATCGACAAGCTAGCAGACCATAACACACAGATCAGACAAACCCACCTACACGAGGAGAGAAAAGACAGAATCAAAAGATTTGGCTGTGCATAGCCCACTCATGTTTCGTTCTGCGCCGCTACTGCAACCCTGACACTCCGTGCAGATGTGAGTAATTTTTGCGACTTCGAAACACGACTGGGATTTTCCAATACCTTAATATAGTCCGAGTCAAAGTTTAACATACGGACAGTTATTTACTTACATGTATGCGGAAAGTAGGAATGGGCCGCCGCTGTGAAATAAAAAGATGACCTCTTCCTGGGTCAAACGGAAACGCAGAAATTGCCGTATGGCATTGCACAACTTCTGGGTTGTGTTAGTGGGAAAGTCGTCTGGGGATTTTTTTCGAGTTCAATAGCATTAGCTTTATTTGAAGCATGAAGGTTTTAACATTAAACAAGGCGGCACTAACAGCATGAAATAAGCCTGAATCCCGGGGAAAGGGGTATAGGCAGTAGGCCTACTCACCCCTCAACTTTGAGTAGAGGTGGCTGCTGAATTATCCCTTAAAGTTTCGTGGGGGTGTACTTATCAGCTCCAAAAATGAAACGAGGCTTTTTTAAATAGGCCATTTTGATGTTGTTCGGGGATGTAAGCCTAGTGGACATCTGAAGCAGGAACAGCGCATACTAGTGTATCGTGGTTTTAAAACCCCTCCTCCTTCAAACTTCCCTTACCTAGCATCCCCAACCCCCAGTTCCCTCCCTGGGGCTGTCATATATTTACTGTGTTTATATTTGGCAACCCAACCCAACCCAACCCAACCCAACCAACAAAAAAAGTTAAGTTGTCCGCCAGCGTTAATTCCCGAGAGCGTCACTCTTTGGCGCACCCGGCACAGCAGGCACGGGAGAAAGTACATTCTTCCAACTGACCTTGAACTTCAACGAAGTCGAATTATTACTAAGATCATAAGATCGACCACCATAAGGCATACCACATACAGGAGTGTGCAACATGTGTATGTACAAAACATGGCTGTAAACAAAACAGTGAACGAGTCATGAACCGTGTAAGCAACCTTGCGGGGAGAGGGGAGCGTACTGTTAAAATGAAACTTCATTCAGACTCATGTATCATGTACATTACATACTTACACTTTCAGATGAAGCTTTTGCATTGTATCGAAGACGAACTGTTGCTGAAAAATGCTTCCTCAGGATCGACAAGTGTAGATGTACGTGATGCGACAAGTAACAACGTATACTGTACAATGTACATGTAAATACGTGCCATTCCGCAGATAGGCGGTTTACAGAGAACACCGCACGACCTCAATCCCCACTGTCACATAAGCAATGAACCTCTGCACACACATCCACACGCAGCGTTCTTTCCTTTCCTTCCTGGTGCTGTTTGTGTATGTGTGTATTTGTGTATCACTGACTGACCGGTGTAATCGTTCACTTCACGACATCAGGCTAATAACCGAGCATGCGCGGTGGATGTGAGACCTTGGAATAATAAATAGTAATAGATTATTTCTTAAATAGCGCAAAGTCCAGTTACAACTGATCAGTGCGCTTTACAATTAATTCCTTAATACACAAATAAGTAGGTTTTGAATTTGTTCTTAAAACAAATCAATGGAACTGGAATTACGAACATCAATTGGGAGGCTATTCCAAACTTTAGGACCATTGTAAGAAAAGTACGTTCCCCAGATTTATATTTAACACGTGGTACTTGAAGTAGAGCACCGGTAGTATGGTTCATTGAGCGCAGACTGTAACGGGTGTGGTCAGGAAAAGTAATTAATAATGACAGGTATTTTGTAGCTAAGTTATCCAAACATTTATAAACAAACAAGGATACTTTATATTTGATTCTTTGTTCCACCGGCAGCCGTTGTAGTTCTTTCAAGCAAAGGAGAGGCCTGTTCCCTCCTGCTGCCACCTAAAACAACACGTGCAGCACGGTCTTGAATGCGCTGCAATCGCTTGATATCACCCGTATTAGCATTTGCAAGAAGAGAGTTGGAATAATCCATTCTGTTCAAAACCAGAGAACGTGTGACATGATGACAGATAGCAGTGGTCAGGAATTTTCTGATTCTAGAAACACTGTACAAGGGAAAATAAAGCATTTTACACGTTGCAGTTATGTGTTGTGACATAGCCATTGTAGAGTCAAACAAAACACCTAAATTCTTGACAATGTCTGACAGACTAACCTTATCTTTAGCTACATGCAAACTAATATCATTGGGTAGGTACGATTTCAAATTTGGTGACACCACAAGGAGAAATTCAGTTTTCCCTAAATTGAGCTTCAGTTTGTTAGAAGTTATCCAGTTACTTATTTCTAATAAGCACTTTTCTACAGAAGCTATCATATCAAACAAAGTATTTTGGTTCTTAGGGTCGAAGCTGCAATACTGTTGTATATCATCAGCATAAAGATGAAACTTCATGCTGTTGTCAAATACATTTTGTGTTCCGTTGTGAAAGAGTGCCTGGACGCTCTCATGACGGCATATGTACTTTTATGTATTAATTAGTGTAAACCTATACGGGGGTATCAAACGAGTAAAGAACAGAGTTAAGAAAAGATGAATTTATTGGCCAAATGGAAAAATGAAAACTGGAGTTTTGTCAAGGGTGCGAGTGTTATTTATTAATTAGTAGAGACGAAGAATATTTCAGAACAAACAATATTTGGCAGGTACAGACATAAAGTGAGGCTGAAACTGGCTTGGTAAGGGCAGAAAGTATTAGGCATCTTCACAGTGAATACGACTACAACCTGCAAATCAAATTTATTCAGCACAAATCGTCCACTATTTTTAAACTAATTATTAACACGTTACTGAAAACATAGCAGCGCTAACAGATTTCATAATGCAGCAAAAACCAAAGAGTTGCTTCCAAAATACCGCAAGATCCCTGTCATACTTGATGCTTCAATTTGAATAATAATCATATTATGACTCATGTTTATACAAAACACTGCAATTAGCAGTAGACTGAGTAAGTTCTCCAATGCAATGTCTCAAATATGACTTTATACTTGATATTCAAACACTCAGTGGAATTAAAGAGAAATTATTACTTAACACCGATGCGGTCGTCTTCTCTTACATACAATGCAAATTTTCTGTCATCTATTTTTGAGAAAAAGTACATGTGTAACATAAATGGTTTGTTTCAAACCATTTTAAACAGGTGAATTATCCTATATCAAACTGCAAATAGTTAGAGTAAATGTTTCATATAGGAATGGATATTCTGAAAAATTGCATCTTACTTTCTTTGTCTTGTTAATGAAATACATATTGTTAAGTTTACGCACACGGTCTCTGTACGTGTGGAAGATTATGCAATGGTTAGGAGACGGCCATCATGCCCTCGCTGTTTCGTCTTGAGCCCGATTATTCTTATTCGACGTGGTCTCTGTCCCCGTTGCAGTTCATTTCCGTACCGTCAAGGACTGGACTGTTATTCGCCATCTGTGGAGTCCAGCATTCTTCACCGTAGTGCCTTGCCAAGTGCTCGCCCGTATGAACATTTTTTTTTATATGAGATATTCCTTATCACTGTAAACTAGTTCCAATCAACATTGTTCTTTGTTACTGTTTTGAAAGTGTAACATTGTCATTAATTCATACTTGTTTTTTGTTCCTTATATCAACATGATATTTAAAGCAAAATGCAAACAGCTAAATACGGTAACAAAAAGGACTGGTGTTATCATCGAAAATTTAAACATTACATTTATAAATTCTTTAACTCGCGGCAAAAAATTATGTAGCAGTCATGATTTCAAGTTTGAAAAATATTTCTTGATATGTTCACGTTTATAAACCATACTGAGAAAATATACATTAGCAGTTTTTATGAGATCTGTTATACACAAGCATTCATTGGATTAGTAGATTGTCTCGATTGTCTCCTTCTGTGTCTGATCCAAAGGCGTAGCCTATTCGTTACACACTTCTTCTTCCTTTACCTCTTGCTGATTTATGCATAACACGGGGGGAGAATGTTTTGATAAAAGATTTAAACCGACAACTGATATAAAATATATAAGAATCACGAACGAAACTTCAAACTCCATCTAACGCAATGCAAGCTGATCAGTTATAGTTATAACAACCACGTAAATACATAATTAGGTATAATGTAAAACTTGTCTTATATTGGTCCATTTGTAACTACTGATATTAAAAGCAACATAATATTTGCGACAACTTGTTACGAATTTTCAAAATACACATTAAGTTTAGTATTGGAATTCATTCATCTGAAGTCACAAAACTCAAGAGAAATCCAAACTCGTGAAATTTGAAAACGGAAACACCCTTTAAAAAGACAGGGCATCTTTTACTTATTCGATTTTGCAGACTCGCTTCTTCTTAGCCGATATTGTTGATCCTTACACTTTCAAATATGAATATAATGGCAAGCTTATTGCCATACCAAACAAACATAAATTGCTACAGCAAATAGACATTTTGGCGGCGAGAGGTATCTAGCAATTTTTTGTCCACAAGCCAAAGCAACGTTGATGTTCGGTGCTTCGGACTACATATTGGAGATCTGCACTTCAGAATGGAAATTTACATTAGCATAAAACCAAAAGGCCCCCACATACAGCTGAAATACAAAAAAAATATATTGGAAACACAAAGGTGTAATTTTAAGATTTTAAGCGGTATATTTTCTTTACATGTTCCCTTATACGCATTGGGCTACGGAGTAAATAACACGTTATCAAAATAACAAAGTTCAATGAATTGAAAAAAAGAGAAATTTGACACTTTGATTGATCGGATGGTCAATATTTGTGTAAAATATAACTAGCGCAATTTGATTATTTACACCTTTTTAGACTTATCTATTAGAAAAATCATCAAGTCAGAATCACTATTTGGTGAGGATTACTGATTTCCTGGTACTCGTTGTACTATTTTCTACTGTGAAAATCTTTTGATCGGTAACGTTGTCATAATTGTGGGTATCGTAAAACACTGCTATTTACAGCCACTACTCCATAATGGAACATGACAATGTCTTGTGTGATACTTTTTCTCTTTAAAAAGAAGTCAAACATAAAGTTGCCACACTGAACTAGAAATAAATCTTGTACAGCGTATAGATCGAAGAGCGTATTTTAACCTGTTATACTGAGCGTGATGTTAAACTTACAGGACAAAACCACAAGTTGTAGGTAATGGCAATCAGCAAACGTTAGCTTTCAAACAAATGTCCCTTGAAATCGAGGCATTACATATCATTCTTACTTCTTGTAATGAATAGACCAGACAGGAGTCACCACCGTGAACTCGTGTCACAGCTTGTCATGAGGGTGGGGAGGGGTGAGTTTGTGTGGGTGTGCGTGGGGGGGGGGGTTAATAACGTTCATAAAATGTTTCTACACTTACACTAATTACTTATTGTTACAGAAAATAAAACATCTGCTACTTTTCCCACAAGGCTTGCCAGACCTGCGACTTTGTTATCTTCTTTAATGTTTTACAATTATTCTGAAAAGAGTAATACTTGTATGTACATGTATAAGTACATGCATAGGCCTATGAATTCATCCCTTTTCAATCATATAACGGCACTGGATCACTCCTAGCCCATATCATCTACGTTGATCTGATTTTTGAGAGCCTACTTTATACTGTGAATCAAACAGGTGACATCGATCATAGTCTTACAAAAATATCAAAAAGGCAGGACGTCAATGCAGTTTTTATATGCTTTGGTACTTAATTCTGGCTTCAAGTGTAACTGGTGGATAGTGTATAGCTTTCATTTACACGTGTTGACAAGAACGCCTTACTGGTGGAGACTCTGTGGTCGGACCCTCTCCTTTCGAAGTCCAACATCGCATCTAGAAGACAAACGAAATTTGAATATCAATTTTCGGATCGAGGTATATGTTCCTGGCTTAGGGTTAAGGTTTAATTTATATTGAGTCTGCTTTCAAGATGTAGCTTTTACCCAATTACCAAAAATTAACCATTTGAAAAAAAAATTCTTTTAAGGGCTTAGCTCAATTCTGAGGGCATACGGAGACGTTTATAGAAACGAAAAATGAGCTTTTTGACGTCATTGGAACAGAGATAAAACGCTCCATCTTCTCCCTCTGCATGATGTCGTTTAGTGTAGTGATGGAAGCTGATGTGGGCACAGATACCGATCTGTCCACCCACATTTTGAACTGGGCGATGTGCTAATAAATAACTTCCCTGAATATTTTATGAATGCGGTCTTCAACTTTCATTGCGGAAAGGGAGGGCACATCCATCCATGGTTATGGATATCTTACGGTAAATGTAAAATCTTTGAAAGCTCGGATAACTCTAGACAAATAAAACATTTTACCTTGGAAACCCTAGTATGGTAGGGAAAAATGATGCCTTGTGCAATAGAACAGTAAATTAATAATCCAAAGGTGCTCATACCTAGTAACAATTGGTTAGCAAAGTTGGTTGACTGGGAACATTACCAGCGGGATCACCGTCACTGACATTCGGTCGCCTCCGCTCTGAAGGGGGCTCAGTTTTCTTGATGCCTTTGTCAGTGGTGAAGCCTGAGAAGAATAGCAAAGGAATAATCAGCACGTGATCAAACCTAGCCCGAATCATCTTAAGATACGTGCAGTCACTTCCCAAATCAAATATTTTGTGCCTTAGGTAGAGAGGAAGGTCAACCACAGCAAGGCCTTTGATTAGGGGTAAAGTAGAGATGAGAACCACGGTAAATTAAAATAACCGTGAGCTTATACGCTTGCTTTTCTGCAGGATTGTTATAATCTTCCCTTTATCTCCAAATGAGTACACACACATTGTGTGATGGATTGGAGAGACAATGACTTCCAGCATTTGTGTTTTTTTTTTCAATGTAAGTGATTTTGAGTATTTCAGCAGTGTATTTACTGGAATGTCAGGAATGGTCCCTAAGCTAGTATCGGGCAGACAACACTACCCCACGATGAAAACTGTATAATTCAAGACGTATAGATGTCTAATATAGATAAATATTGTCTCCAAGGTAAATTCATCACGGCACTTTGGTGCAGAGGATTATTCGTAAAGAAAACTGGTCAAAGTGCGCGGAAAATAAGGTCAAAGAGGCTAAATTGCCCTTCTATTGTTGTCGTGGATTCCTGACAAACTATTAGAAGAGAAGAAAATACAACTTGACACAATATTAGTCTCACTTTAAAATGATCCATCTCTTGGATCTCTAGCATCGTTGATGCAGACCACAGGAAAAGTGAGCTGTGCATTCGATTTTGATTTGGTTTTGTGAGTTGGATTTTGTTTCTAATATTTTGCTGAATCTCAGGTTTATATCTCCTGTCTCCCTTGCTCTTTGGAACTTTGATCTTCGTTAATGAAAGTAAAACAATTCCTGTGCAGGACATGTCAGATACATTTGAGAAGGATTAACATTTTGAAAGTTTTGTCTTTTTTGAGTGGAACTCATCACTGCCAGCCAGAGTTACAAGCCTAGATATTGCTCCTCAGACTAAAGATGCCATAGTCTAGTCAAGCCACTGAAGAATAAGGCTTCATTCCAGTTGAAATAATAAAAGGAAATCACATATTTATCGACTGAGTTCTGAATAATTCTTTCGGCACTTGATCAAAAATTTGGTCGACATTATGTAAAGACAAAACTAGTCATCTGACAAAATAATAGTACCTGGACTTAGTTTAACTTGTCGGGAAAGTTTAATGACTTTTATTAAGGTACGTTAAGGAAGACACCATTTAAACTAAAATGATCTTAGACTTTTTCAAAGTTTTTTGCAAGTCTTATGATTATGACCTCTTTAACAAGACAAATTCAGTGATAAAATATGAGACCCAACAGACATACGAACGTAGAATATCAAAACATTAAAAGAAATCATACCTCGCAGTTCATCAGCTAGGTTTTCCTTTTCCAATGTCGTCAGATAAGAGCAAAGCCATTCAAGTTGCGCTTCAGGGGATAACTGCTTATCTCTCCATGTAATCAGCATTTGGAGGATCTGGTCTTGTCTGTCATGAAGGTCCTTCTTGAATTCGAGGATATCAGCTTCACGGAAACCGAGGGATCTTCCCAGTTCCTCCCATTCAGGTCCCAGGCTGAGTGACACGTCTCGAAGACTTGCATCATTAATATCTGCGACAGCAAAATGGTCAATCGCACACAAAGTTGTTCATAATCTAATGTCCTTGGAAGAAAAGGCAACAGCATCAGAAATCTGCTTACAAGGTGATACTTTGAGCTTAAAATTATTCGAAATTTTATCGAGGATGGTAATAAATGAACACAGCAATTCATCTCATATCAGTTTGTTTGTTGAAGGTAAAACGTGATCTGATGGAAACAAAACAGTTACCACAAAATGTGCCAAAATATGCAAAGTCTATACGCGACTAATGCCCAAGCCGCAGGCGAGAGGGCATTCGTCGCGTCCATTCTCCTGAGCCAGTGTTAAACCCACGTTTAAGACCGGCTAAGCATACATATTTACATTCATGAATACCTTTTTATTCAAAGGGTCAAAAGAAGCCAATATATGATGGATGATTTCAAACAATTTTGTTCTTTCATTTGCCCGAATACTCATGTCCATTTTATGTTATATTCCTTTTGGAAATTGCGTTGCTTGCACACCGACCCATGACCAATCAGACCCGTTTAAACTGTCTCGTATTTAGGTACCAGCGCGTTATTTACGCAGCGGGCATTATCACTTCTCAGCTGGCATTATCAAATGCTAATTCACGGTCACGTGACGCGTTTCAACCAATAGGAAAAGAAAAAAAGCTGTCCCGGGTATTTATGAATATAGAACACGGCAAAGCGTACCTGGCAAGGCATCAGCAATGTCCTCTCTGCTGATCCTTCTCAGGCTATTTTGGAGCCTTTTAACCTGCGCTTGAGGGTATTGAACATCTCGCCACTCAACAAGCATCGCAAAAATCTGGTTTATGGTAGCACTGTTGTCGTTCTTAAATCTAAAGATGTCAGGCTGACCAAAGCCGAGAAAGGTTCCTAGCGTTTCCCATTCGGGACCGAGTTTGCGTGATACCATGCGAAGTGTTGAATCTTCAATACCTGCAATATTTACGAAGTAATGAGACTTTTTAGGTTGACAGTATTGTGATCACGGAAGTTATGAATTCCATTTATATCTGCAACTAAAGAAATGCAAAAATCACAAATGTTTTGAAAAACAATTGACTTAATCTGTTTTTAGACATTCTTTGCACCTTGTAACCATTGCAGAGTACACTTTCCATTGGAGCACTCCTTTGATGTTATTTCAACTTACCTTTCATGAAGGACATTTTCTTCTCTTCTGTTCTGACCTGAGGGCAAAATGTTAGGAACGTGGCCATTGTTACTTGTGACTGTTATACCGTTTGCTCAATGTACACGACCCATTGAAAACATGTCTCATTCTCCAGAACCTTGGGTTAGTCCATGGCCAAACAGCATAGTGCTGTAAACAATTTCTGGATATAAACACCGCTGATCATGTGTGAATGGGGTGTTTTTGGTGACTCCCATGACTTTTTTGAAAAGACAAGGATTCAGTAATTAATTAGAATAAAGTCTCAGTGCAAAACAGCAAACTGACTGAATGGAATGTGCGCGTGCTCAGATAGTCATACAGTTGTTTTCATTTCTGATCTTGAAAGCATCTTCAGTTTCAACGTCAGCTTCATTTGGTTGACGGAATCAGATTGGCGTAGATAACTGTTTTCTTCACTTCAGATATCAAACTGAGATAATTTGTATGATTAGACATTTTAGAAGCAAACTGCTCTTACTCACTGAGGACATCATCCCTTGAATGATCTCAATCAATTCCTTGATGGAATTTCTTTCACCAGGAATCCTGACAAAGAAAAAGGTGTTGTCGACTCCAAAGATACGTTTTCCTTTGGTATCACCACTGTTGTAACATTCTTCCAGTTGCTGCTGTAATTGTTCGCATCTATGCAATAAGGCACTATCCCTTAAATCACCACAACGTCCCCTATCTTTCTTGCCGTTTTTCTTTTTATACAAAGCAAGTTTTACTTTGTCCTGTGATAAAGAAAATACAAATACTCTCTACTCTAAGGTCTATTAGAAATAATAATGATAGGTTTTACTGATACCATAACTAATTTCAAGTAACCGGCTGAGGTTTACTTGAACATGCAAAATGAAACATTACATTAAAATAGAAAAAATAAATATGACAATAAATGTATTGTAGTCTTTCGATCGTAAAAAGAACAGTCTATGAATAAGTGAATAAACATGCGCTTGGCTGGTCTTAAACGCATTCAGTCTTTAACAATGCCCATTCATTTTAGTCACAGTCAAAAGAATTCAATATATGATGGTTTTCCAGCGATTTTGTTCTAGACTTTTACTCTTATCTCCCCCAATCCCCCGTCCATTTGAGGGAGTATTCTTGTGCAATTGTCCACTTGGCGCGCGCATGGCGAGCCGTGTGCACACAGACTCCTAACCAATCAGAATCAATTAATTAAATTGTTTTGTCTGTAGGTGTCAGCGCCTGAGTTACCTTTATCACTTTTCAGCAGGCATTATTAAATGTTAATACACGGTCAAGTTGCACGTTGTTGAATGGGGAGACTGTCTGAGGCATAATGCACCATCAAATGCGTTTTCCTTACCCGGATACTTTCCCTGGTGTTGCTAGTTTTGACTCCAATTGGCCGTGCCGACTGTTAGAGAAAAAAAAAACAAGTGGTAGTTTATGTTTGAGAATATACGTAAAATGATAACGACATTTGATAAACTTTGACCATAAAGTATAGCGCACTCATATACAAGAAGGTGTTGCGCTAAATGGCTTCTCTACTGTTTATTCTGACTCCCATGCTTCGTATCAAGGTGTCAATGAAGATACATTTCTAAACTGCAAATCAAAAGTTGTTTCCCGAAGTATGAAACAAGACTCAAGTGGTCATGGGTTAGATTTTATTGATCCCTCATGCCCTTCTAAAACATAGCAGCTTCGTACTACAATCATTTTTTTAAGCATATGCTTTTTATCAATTACTCACCGGGTCCAGCTCACCAGCATAGCCCATACAATGAGACGTCCCCAAATTCCAACAGCTTGGTGTCTTTGCCTGCAAAAAAAACCCACGTTTAAATAACACCGTCAACAAAACCTATCGCTTCCAATTTTTTATCAAAATACGAAACGTTTTTTCAAGGTTTACTTTGCGTAAGGGAGATGTTAATTTTCTAATAAAAGGTTTGGCTTAGGTTGGGTTTTTGTTTTTATTACTCACTCTTGTGGCCAGAGGCCAAATTACCGTGAAAAATCACACACGGTTTGACATAAAAGTTACAAATCATTACAAAAGCTGGAATTCATTAACAAAAGTAACCATTAAGAAAAACACGCAACGATACACACATTAAAACCGAATTATTAAAACCAAGGAATACTTAAAAAAAACCACATAATTTCTTAAAAAGGACAACACAACATCGACTTATATTTAAAGCACTACATACTTAGTGTTTGTCCGAGAGCCTGCAAGAATACTCACAAGCTTAGGCCTACTCTAATTGGAGCCGAGGCCCACGACCTCCTGTTTATTAGTGCACACATCTTCTCTGTCCCCTGTCTCTCCCCTCTCTCTGCTATCTCTTGTGTTAGGAGTATGATGTCTGCTTGAATTGAAGGTATACATTTTTGCATGTGGGCTACCAGTTGGCTGTGAGTCCTATCGTTGAGAGGCATTTGCGGTGCTGGCATACAGGCTGAGTGATGAGGCATCACTTGAGCTCGAAATAGTGCCGGTGGACAGCGTCGCTTTCCAGCCATTCTTATCCCATCTCCTTGTTCACTTTTTTCTTGGTCGAATCTTGGTGCCTTTGTGGACAGCATTTCTCTAGCCAGGTCTGCAGGAAGCGCTTGCCTCCGAGGATTCCGTCCGAGTATAGCAGCGCTTCAGATTTCGTTTTAGTGTGTTCTTGAATCTCTTTCTTTGCCAGCCATGAGTACGTTTGCTTTCATCCAGATCAGAGTATAGGATTTCTTTGGGGAGTTGATCGTCGCTCATACGGGTTACATGTCCTGCCAATATCAGCTGGTTCTAGACAATCATGCTTGTGCAGTGAGTCAGCAAGGATGCTGATACTGAAGATGGTTCTCAGAGCACGATTGTGAAAACTCTCAAGAGATTTAAGATGACAGCTGTATATACCCCAAGTCTCTGAGGCATACAGCAAGGCAAGTAGTACGAAGGCATGTACTCTGACTTAAGTAGATGGGTATATGTCTTTCTGCTCAAAGACTCTTGCTTTCAGCTGGGCAATTGCAGTGCTAGCAGCATGAGATCCGAGCCCCACATCGATACTAACATTGGAAGAGAGACAGCTTCTAAGGTAGTTAAAGTTGTCAACATTCTCAAGTGAGATCCCGTTAACAGTGGTGGTGTTCAACGAGCAGATAGAGAACGGCTGATGCAGTTCTTGGGTCTTTTTCACATTGAGTTTGAGTCCAAGTGTTTTATATGCTTGATCGATTCCTTCTCTTTGCACATGGTCAAGTTTCCATCCTTTCCCATGATCAGTCTTACTCCTTCGGTTGTTTGCCCATATAAGCTAGATGTGTAGTTTAATAATAGCCACAAAGAATTCCTTGTGGTTGTTGGAGTCCGCAAACACCTCAATCTCGTCAGACTTTTGTCTCCACTATTCATTCTTCATTTCCCGAGCTCTATTCTGTACAATGGATCTCAGCTCATGGTATTTATTCCTTTTCTCTTATTTCTGTAATCTAGTCAGAAAGAAAAAGCCTTGCACTTTGCCTCGATGAGGCTGTTGATCTTATCATCATCGTCGTTATCATCAAACCACTCTTCATTGCGTCCCTTCTGTTTACCGAGTGTCTCTTCAACTGTGACGTCAATTTTCTCCTGCAGACGTTTTTAAAACCAGTCGACAACCGAGCTTGCTGGGGTCGGCTGACTGGTTCGAGTCAGATGTAACAGCGGTACCACCTACTATTTCAAGATGTACTTTGTGTTGGGGAGATGATAATAAAATAACAATTTTACAACGATGTATGAGCCCCCAGCTGGTCCAAACAGGACGAAAATAATTTTCTTAGACACAGAGGCTCCTTAGGTCGGAACTGTACTTCATTGGTTCACAAATGACTGGCAAATACACGTTTACGGCCGCATTGTAACCAACAAAATGAACGCCTGAAACAATACATGGCTCTTTTCCACCAAATGAGGGGGTGCGTCTTCTTAAGGCGGACATTCATAACACTACTTATTTGCGGTCGTGGGTTCTGGCCCCATTCGAGTAGGTTAGGGAATCTTTCGTCACGCTAAGTATACAGTGTTATTATACAATTCGGTGTCGGGTGAAACGAATTACTGTATTAATACTAAACCTGTTTTACGTGTCTCGGAAACTGGGTCCTGTAAGTTTCATTTCAAGGTAGATTAAATAAATGCTAGCTATAAGCAACAGTTCTTTAATTCATCAATGTACGTGTATATGATGACGGGTTACGAACATCGATATCATGGGCATTAAAACTTACAGCTGGACAGATCGACAGACAGACTTTTTCAATTTTCTTGTTCTTTTCGTCTTCACATTTCTGGTACGCTTCCACTGAGCAGTACAGTTCATCATCAGCAGGTAGGGTTGATGGGTTACCAAGGGTGAAGGTAACGCAGTTGGATGCGTGAGTCTTTATCAGAGTTTTGGAGATAGCCTGCTTGAAGAAAAAATGACAAAATAGTTTCAAAGAAAAGTATTGTCTTTATTTCTTCTATTCAAGTGAACATTTTAGGATGTAATAAAGTTTTTCTTTTTGATTTTGTTTATTTTATTCTAACTAAATTCAATCTAATCAACTATGCAGACTCACATGGATTTTTTCTCCATGTACTTGGCATCCATTTGAAATTTCTGAAAGCTTCACGATCACGTCGCCCCCTGTCCAGGTGAGGTTCTTGAAACCGTCGAGCCTGATCGACGTTTGCTCATCAGCTTCTACAGACTTTGAAGAAAAAATCAAGATCAAAACGAAATTTAACTTCCAATATTTCCAATTTATGCCCGAATGCACAGACAGACACGACTCCAGACGTGAAAAGTAATGATAGTTACATCTGCTGTAGTTATTAGAAGTCCCATCGATAAATAATGGATGTACTTATGAATATTGGTAAATGAATGTCAAATGTCAAAACGTTGGGTTATCAAGGTTTTTTTTGGGGGGGACACGGGCATGGCGATTCTACCCAGCTAAAAAACCACCACCACCCCAAAAAACTAACTCTTTACAAGGCAGATCACACTTCTCAAATCAGTTCTAGTTCTAGTATATTCAGTTGTAGTCTAGTTATCCATGGTTCTATCCATTCATTAGAGATTTAGCCTGGGGGTATTATAACATGTGCCTTGGTATCATGGCATAACAATGTATTGTGTTGTTGTTTTATGGGCATTTTCTTATTGCCAAAAAGCTAGCAAACTCCGCACGCCCAACAAAGTTCACTCAAATAACTGAATAACATCAATGCTCAAGGAAATTTTACTGAGCAAAAAAACACAGACGAATTGTGAGTGATTAAAATACAAATTTGCTTTACCTTTTTAACTGCTTCATTGTTGTCCAACACATAAACTCGCAGTTGGTATGGTATTCCTTTGCCGACGTAGACATCACCATAGGCAGTCAACAAGAGCTGTTTAATGTTTCTTTTCCCTCTCAATCTAAACCATGTGAAATGATTAACGAGGAGAATCACCCTATCTTTGTTTACAACTGTTACATTCCCATCAAACTCTTCCCACATCTCTCCTGGATCACCGTCCTGGCACATCTGGGCCGTTAACTCTTCAGGATCGATGCTTTTCAAATCGGCCTGATGAGGGAAGGACAGGGCCACTGTTTTCGCGAAGTTCACACCTGGGGGTCCGCAGTGGACAGTTCTTGAAAGTGTGATTCCTGTAGGGTCATTTTCATCAATTGGAGGTTCGTTAGTGTCAACATAGACGTAGACTTCCTGACAGAAGCCTGGAAGTATCGCGCCAGGCGGGATAGTGAGTTGCACGTCGTAGTCATCTACGGACAAGCTTCCACCGCTCTCGTTGAAGTAGCCAATGGCAATGTCGGGTAGTTGAAAGCTCGTGTCAAGACGTACCTCATCACTGAGGTCATGTATTTGTGAATGATATTCATCAAGTATCATTTGAAGGCGGGATGGCGGTTTCGGCGAGTTACTCTCAGACAACATCTGAAAAGTTTATGTGAATGTAGAGTGAATGTAGTAAAGTGAATGTAGATCACAATGAATTATAGGATAATAGCGTTTTAAACTGCATTATTCCAGTGCAAGTGTATACCGTTTGACAACTTCTAAATGAGCAGGTACTTGATCACAGATCCGTTGAGATTAACACTTACAGGTTTAAAACATACTTGATTGAAATGAAAAATGTATCAATAATTAGAACAATTAGAATAAATATTTCTGATTAGCGGTGAAAGTAGATTACGAAATTTAGATTATGACACATATGCTTTAATACGATGAATGAAAAATACCAAATCGTTTCTTGAAGATACTCTATACCGATTCTCCATTTAAAAAGTGAGCAACTTCAAACGAGATTACCAATTAAAGGATCTCTTTGTAAAAACGGTAGTGCTGTCTGTGAATGAATCAGTGAGTGCAGCATTGATATACAAAGTGCAGCGTTTCATTTTGCCTACCCGCATGTTTTCAAGACTGCAGCTAAAGCAGACCAGTATATAGATCAGACTGACCTGTATCCTAATTTTCATTTGTTACGTGTCAAATGTCACGCAATAAACAGGAGGATTGAGTGACTGGGCAGACAGAAACTTACATCTTTGGCACAACCACTGAGCAGCATTTCTTCATCACTTGGTACTACTGATTCCGGTACCTGAGGTCGATGTGTCTCTAATATTCCTTTGAAATCAAAGCATTCGTGGCAATTTCAAGAAGAGACATGGAAATATCAGCAAGTATTTTGACTACAAATCACCTGAAATATGTAGAACTGGCAGCGCTAAGATACGTGTACCGACCATTGTTATTCTTTATAACTATCAGGCAGTGCATCTATAGACAGAACCTCTTGTGTCTATCTCCTGAAGTTTTGCAACATATCTATGCGTACCCCAAAGAAGAGGGATTCTCATTATTTACTTTTTAATTCAGAGTAGATATTGTTGTGGGAATCTTTGTTGACCTCAATTTATTTTTAAAAACTGAGCGAAGTAACTTAGCCTCCCAGTGGTGTGTGGGGGGACTGTATGGCACACTTTGACCTTTGCGACAAAAATGGCAAAAGGTCACATTAATATGCATAATATAATAATAATATGATATTGATATGAATAGGACTGAGGTGTAAGTTGAAAAATATGGCACAAGATGACCTTTGGTGAGGGATAGGCATAGGATAAGATTAGAAACTCTGGTATAGAGCACGGGAAACAAGGTATAGCACGGGGTAAAAATTTTGGAACAATGTAACCTTTCCTAAGAACTTATTGCACAACATGACAAAAGAGGATGAGTCAAAGGTGTGACGTCATGGAAAAATACCGACCGGCCACTAGGGTGGTCCTGAAGTAATCAGGAAGTAGGAAGCGATAATCCCTAAACCAAGGACTGCATGTAGTGTGTGAGCTGTGTCGTCGGCATATGCAGCAAGGTATGAGACGGAGAGAACCCCCCTACTTTGTGTTGGTCATTGTCTCGCAGGAATCTGGGGAATTCCTTTCAGACATCTTGGGGGGATGTGTTAAGTAACAATAGTCTGGAATGTGTATATGGATTGGACATGTTGGGGGGTACCCCTCGGTTTCATTTCTTGCTGGGTATAGTCGCCGGACTATTGTATTAATGATCACATTGTGTACATTGGAAGTGAGCGTTAGTGGTCTGACTTTACCTTTGGACACTAAAGGACAGAGGACGCTAACATGCTGACGGTCTTGCGTTTGGCTACTATGGCTACCGAGATCTGATCGATACGGGAAGAAAACTTGTGCCTACCTGAATTTTTTAATCGTTTGAACTAGAGTGTTTTACGTCATTTCCATGACGTCACACCCAGTGTTGTAGTACTCGTACCCGTACCCGAGTACTACTCGAGTACCGTTTTCAGAGTACTCGTACGTCCAAGTACCCGTACTCGAACTACAGTTCTTGTACTCGGGCAACAAAATACTCGGAACTCAACATCAAAAAATTGTACTTGAGCATCAAAGTACTCGTACTCAATCAACAGTACTCGACAAAAAAAATCCTTGAAGTTAACCTACCACGGCTGTTAAAATATCGACCCCAATGACCCTATACACACCTTTGACTAATCCTCTTTCATCATGTTGTGCAATAATTTACTAGGAAAGGTCAAATTGTACCAAAAACTTTTACCCCGTGCTATTTCTTGTTCCTATTTTATCCCATACACCGGGGTCAAACTGTGCCAGAGTTTCTGACCTTATCATTTGCCTAAACCCCTTTGCAAAGGTCACCTTGTGCCGTAATTTTTCAGCCTACACCTCATTCCTATTCATATCAATGTCATATTATTATACTTATGCATATTACTGTGACCTTTTGCCATTTTTGTCGCAAAGGTCAAAGTGTGCCATACAGTCCCCCCGACTACTCCTCCCATTTCAGCAGTTCATATAGTTCAAACAACTTCGAAGTAACTGTGCCACAATAACGCTTGGTATGACTGCGATTTTCCTTAGACTTAAGTAGCAACAGTTTCATTAACTACACTAAATTGTTCGACGTCATAAGCAATGCTAGATTTAATTTGTGCACAAGTAATTATTTTCTTGCAGCTTTGCATGATATTAAACCCTTTGTTAGTTTTATTTGGATTAAATCCTTAAAAATAAATTATTAACAAGTTAGTCAAACTCTGAATCCTTTGTATTCCTCATATACAATTTGTAAAATCTTTTTTTGGTTTTAACGTACCATAACGATGACGCAGCTGACGTACTAAATCCTTTTTGCCTAGGTTGCTTAATGCGTCACACAGCTTTCCCAGGATATCCTGTTCACTGACGCCTTGGCGATGCTTCCATATAAGCAGCATCCTGCAGCAAGGATCGCACAATTGTCGGTGAAATGGCTTTTCGTATTGGAACTCGTCTGGACACAGCAATTGCCACTCGCTCAGAGAACATGACCATGGAAGTCTGTAGGGAAGGGAATGTTTTCCACTACGGAGTCCCTTGATGAGGCCAACATCTTCCCTGCTAAGCCCAAGGTAAATGGCCAACTTCTCCCAGTAGCCAAATCCGATTTCTCCAGCAATGACAACCAATTCTTCATCAAGCGTCACTACAAATTCAGAATGATAATTGGACAGAGTATTCCAAAAATCCTAGGATTACACAAAATATTTTACTACAATTAAATCAAGGCAACTTGCAAAAGGTTTCTGCGGAATTTATTATTGTGTTTGTCTCAATACAGGCAAAATTCTTTACATTCAAAATGTATTTTGAATACAAAAAACTATTCTTTTCTTTTGGCTGCGTAGGCCTAAATTAAACTGCATAACCGGAGAAACAATTCTTACTTCCTGCTTTTTGATTCCTCTTCGTGGTTTGTCCAGCATCTTTGAAGTTAAAGAAAAACACTGATCTCTGATTTGTCGTACCCAGTGCGTCATTTACAGTTAACAGCATTTCTAACTCCTACCGTAAATACCGACATGACTTAAATGTAATGAATTGAATACGTTCTCTTATGGGGTCATTTGAGTCGTTTTAAGGCTGGTAGCATCTTCAAACACGGGAGGATCTCTCCAGACTCTAGGGCTTACACATGTAATTACAATTACATTGGAAATGCATTGGCTCATGATGCCTGTCAGATATGTGTGCCACAATAAAAATCTATATCCTTCTGTCACGACCTTCCATATTGATATTGTACACAAAAGCCACAAGAGAGCGGCACCCGTATGTTTTTAACTGAACAGTTAATTTACACCGAAATTCTTATTACCTTGATAATGCTGCTGCAGTAGTATTGCCAGGCCCTTTCTACCAATATCTGTCAGTGCAGCACACAGATTTTCGATGCACCGATCTTCATTCATGCCTTGGCGATGATCCCATTTTTCAAGCATGCTGCAGCATTGGTCTTTCCAGTTATCGGGGGTATCTGTCTGGATGGTGTCGATTTCTTCTAAGCTGAAGCCAAGGACATCAGCTAACTTCACCCAGTCATTCTCTCCGATAAATCTGGCAATGTCAGTCCACTTGTCTTCACTGACCACTTAATACAAACAAATTGCCATGAATGATAACCTTGACAAAAATATTCTGCGCTGTTAAACGCCGTCAATCTGACGATTGATGTTGGCCAGCAAGAGGACAGCAAATTGCAATCTTAAATTGAATACATTTCAATCATCCCGGCGGTCTGGCTTGAAAAACGTATAATGCCAACTTGTCGATGTAAACATTTAGGCCGAGTTCGGGCGGCTTTTGTTCCCGTATGTTCACGAATAGCTCGATTTGTTGTTCGTGGGTCTTCCGCTCGAAAGCCGGGAACAAATGACCGGTTATCGCTGGTAGTTAGTGACATGCAACATGCAACATGGCGGCGTCCATGTAGGCTGCGTTATTTGAGAGTTATTGTTTTGATGGGCTGAATTCTTTTCTATATAAACAGGAACACTCATTTCTGTGTTACGGAAAATAATTAATGTTAATTTTGCTAAACCTCCCATTGTCTATGGCTTTGGAAGCCATCTCTGTACTTTTTTTCAGCAGTTAAAAAATCAATATCTCACGAGTTTTCCCTTGTGTTCCTGTAAAACCCTGACGAGGAGCTGGTGTGTGATCCTGTTCCGAGAACAGTGTTGTCGAGTCGTGTTCCCGCCGTTCGAGCGCAAGAACAAGAAACCTGTGTCAAGAACAGGGCGCCCGAACCTGACTTTTGTGTAAAGTTAGCAATCTTGATTGACTTTAATATTAGTCACGCCACATTGTACTGCCCTCCTTAATTAAGATGTTTCTAATTTCTAATCTCAATCTGGCAGCCAGCCAAACTCCTATCACTGACGAAATGGGAGTCAGGATATAGCTGCGCATGTAGCTCCGGTGTTTTAATATTTGGTCACACTGGATGATGATGTCATTGACATGGAGTAAAAAGGCAATGCTTCTCTAGGCACTATATACAGTTAGCAAGGAGAGAGAGGAAGATTTGTGCCCTGAAAATGTGGGAAAATGATGCACAAATTCACTGTGAGAAATCCACTGCCTATGGATGAGTGTAAAGCATGGTTCTCAGGTTACCGGTCAAAGGAGGGCGCCATTATGAAATACAGTAGAAGCAATGTAAACATAACACACATTTAGGTCTTCATTATGGAATTATCCATCTGAGGCGTTTTCCCCAAAATATGTGGATACAGTGGTTGTCAGTTACAGCTGACTAGGTTGAGGACACCTATCTCCTGTATGTTCACTGTAAGTCGTGAGAAGGAATTTTGAGATTAAAATGACTCCAGACTCTTGTCACCTTGAGTTATATTTATTAATTTTAGTGATTGATTGGATCCACTACCTCGATAATGTTGCAGCTGACCCACCAGTTCCTCCTGGCCAACGTCTGTCAGTGCATTGCACAGAAGTCCAAGCTGATCTTTGGTCATATCTACGCGTTGTTTCAATTTCTTTAGCATAACTAAGGAGTGAGCTGTGTCGTTGCCGGGGTTTTCTTTCATGATCTTATTGATTTCTAACGCACTGAAACCGAGCATGAGAGCCAGCCTTTTCCACTTGGGTCCACATTCTTGAGATATCCAGTCGAACACCTCCTGGTGAAGTTCTGAATGAGTGAATGAACGGGATGGATCAAGCAAAAGTCAAAAATATTGCGAAGTCTCTGACTAGTCCATTTTTGAATGCTATAATTGCCAAAGGTTTAGAGAAACTGCACCTAAACTCTACTTTATACTCTCTCGATGTTATTAATCAACAATTTCAGAACAAATGGGCTAACAGTAAGTTTAGACTTGCCAAACTGTGTTCTTGTCGTTTTGAAAAATGTTTTATTCAAATGCCCAAAATTTGCCGATTGCTCAGTTGATTACAACGTTGCGCACATCCAAAGAATCCAAAAAATCCTTTTTTCCTTACATGGCTTGTAAACGTTTCTAAGGTATGCTCAATGACACCTAATAAAGACACCAACTGTCTTGATTTTCATAAATTTTGCCCAAACCTGCATAATGTAGCAGTGGAGTGATGAGATCAGCTCTGTCAATATTTGATAAAGCGTCGCACAGCTTTGCAAAGTGATCTTTATTCTGGCCTTGCTGACAATTCCATTTCTGAAGCATTCGGAAGGCTTGATCACTAGGCTGAACTTCCTCCATGGTGGTTAATTCTTCGCAGCTGATTCCTAAAGAAGTGGTCAATTCCTTCCAGCCCGGACCGAGTCTTCTCACCACCTCGAGCAGAACGTCATCATTAATCAGAACTGCAAAAAAATGAGTTCTTGATCATTGAAGGAACTGCACTGAATCATTAACATATATATATAGAACAATCAGATTCATTAACAGTTGCATTGTAGTACAGTGACAACAATTCTGACAAACAGAAGAAATGAAAGACTGTCATTCTAGACTCTGATGTTTGAGGTATTCAGCAGGAGAAAGCCAGTTTTGTATTTCAAAAAGCCAAAGTCACATGTGAAAGAAATGAACCATTCCTCAACTGTAAGGAATTGGTACTTGATATGTTTAGTTCAATGCGATTCAGGAATTTAGCGTTCCATTTTCTCCCTTTTCAGTGCCATCTAGCTAGCCACCTGCTCGACACCTCCTTCGCAGAGCCCGCTCAACCATAACCACTTGTAATTCGCTGAAAGATGCACCCAGCAGTTCTTCCTCAAGACTGGTATTGCTTCCTCCGACGCCTATGATTTCCGAGCCCCTCAGACCCATAAAATAAATTTTGCAAAACAAGTGCTCCGTCTATGCACCACCATACTGTTCCTCTTGGAAGTGAGCTCGTAACAATGAAACTGTGAATTCACTGGATGTAGTGATTTGACTAATTTCTGGTTGTGCTTAAACCTGTGAACCATCCAGCGAGGAGGATGAAAGGTAAGAAGGGATTGAAGAGGGCTGAATTATGGAGTAAAACATTCGGACAGTTCTTTCAGAGAATCTTCTATTTGTTCCCCCTGAGTCAAGAACTGAATGTGCAGTTGGCTCGGAAAGAGTGACATTAGGGACAAGACGTTTTAGAGTGAAAATCATTCTGAATTTAGACTGAAAAAAGGCTAAAAATAGCCCCTTCCAGTGGAAGCTCGAATGAAATTTCAATCTTTTGGAGTGAAGAAATTTCACTCCAATTCGTCTGGTCCTTAATTTCAATCAAAGGGATTAAATTTTCACTCAATAGAGTGAATTTTCCCTCTTTATTTCAAACGCACTATATTCTTACATATGGATGTCAGCTCCATAAGATATATTGCCCTTTTTTAAGAAACTTGTTGACGCAATGTCCCAAATTTTCAAAATACATCTAATGGTGCCATGGAAAATAAGTATGCATAATTTTATTTTACTATTCTGTAGTGCGATGGCTTGATTTACTTAACGTACACATTTCATTTGTGACTAGGAAAAAAAGTTCTAAAGTTTTATGGACTATTAAGTCCGATTTTGTGCAGAAGCAACAGCAATGGGATGTGTAGTGCGAAATCCTGACCAAAGTTTGGCAATCACTCTTTAAACGTTTCTACAAATTATTACTTTTTGGTTATCTTGCACAGCATGTTGTGAAGGTTTTTCCTTGATGAAATCCCGAAAGTCTTCTTTCATCACCACAAACTACTCTCGTTCGTTTGAAAAGCTAACATTGGTTTTCTCATTACCTGGACGAAGCCGAATTAAAATTGCCAAATGATGTTTGCCGATTTCATTCAATGCGTCTCCCAACTTTTCTTGGATCTCCTCTCCACCAACGCTTTGGCGGCGTTTCCATATCAAGAGCATGCTGTAGCATGTGGTATTCCATCCGTCACAACCGACGTTTCTTACTTGAGGGCGGATAGGTGAACCCAGCAATTCTTGACTGTAGAGTTCGTTTATGAGGAAAACATCTTCTTTGCTAAGCCCAAGGACAAGGGCCAGCTTCTTCCACTCAACACGATCGAGGCGTCGAGCAATGGCATTAAATCCTGCATTAAGTGTCACTAAAATAGACAATGGTGAGGGAAAGGTAATGGAGAAATTCCCGGATTCCACATAAAATAAAATTGCGTAAACACCATTTGAACAATTTGTTCTGCTGAATTTCAATTGTTTTCACTAACCTAAAAAGTGTTACAGGGCAAAATGTAAAGTTCGCTATCCTCTACATTCCCACACTATCTGATACAAGAAGTTAGGAATACATCTGCCTCTTACTGACACATTTCAGCTGTATACAAGTGCGTGTACAGCAAATAGCCAAAAACACGAAATTGTTTGTAATTCATTTAAATACTTTTTCTTCCTAAATTAAACAAGTTGGTATTGTCACTTTAATTAATTAACACGGGCGAATAAATAATTCTTACCTCCGGTCTTTTGACTGCTTCCCTTAGTTCGTGCTCTGTCTTTAACGACAAACAGAATAATAAATTGTGCTATTTCTTATCCAGTTTAGTACATTATACCAACATAACAATGTGACTGAGGGTGGACTCGGCCAGACTTGGTTTCGGTTCTCTCGACTGATCGTTAGAGGACAGCATAAAAAATGTTAGTTGCTATCAGCTGTTTTATTGGGCTCAATTTCGCAGGTTGTTTAGGATTTTCATAAGAAAGTAGTTAATCGGACGATGTGTACTTTGAAAAGTAACAGAAATCAAGGTAATAGTTCATAGATTGCAGTGTTTCACGTATAATAACTATATATCGGTCCATTTCGATATTACTTAAACGCAAGGTCCTAACAAGCGTCTTACCTCCAGCCAACGGGGCCTATTACTTCTACTGTCTACGAAAATCTAATAACTACGTACTGCAAAAATCTCCAGATTATTTGGGTCCAATCGTTGGCTGCTTTCGGATTACACTGCAGGGTGAGACTGCGTTACATTATAATCCACTGTTGTTTTCACATCCACACCCGTGAAACCTATTTCGATTCTTTCTTAGGAATAGAGCTGCCACTCAGTCTTGTCAATGAACGTCAAAAGCCTTGAATAAGCAGGTACACCAAAATCTCTCTTCACTGTTCTAACCAGATAACATCGTAAAACAGTGACGGTCAACAACGCCGGAGACAGGGTATAGGGGTTATTGGATTACGAAAGAATTGTGCAGTTCTGTCTATTAACCTGCTACGTTGGCTTGAGTACAAAATAAATATCACCTTCCTTGCTGTACTCATACAAAGTAGGCCTATATCAGCATGGTAGAACCTGTTGTAACGTACGGTGAACTGCACAAAGTTTTCAATAAGAGGGGCACAGACTTCATTAAAGACGGAAAAAGGCATTCTGAAAGTTGCTTCCACTAAAACTGTCGATATCACACCAACGTTGTTGTAGTTACCTTGATAATGCTGCTGCAGTAGTATTGCTAGTCCCTTTCTACCGATATCTGTCAATGCAGCACATAGCTTTTCTATGCACTGATCTTCATTAGTGCCTTGGAGATGATTCCATTTTTCAAGCATGCTGCAGCATTGATGTTTCCAGTCACCAGGGGTATCTGCCTTGATGGTGTCGATTTCTTCTGAGCTGAGGCCGAGGGCACCAGCTAACTGAACCCAGTCATCCTCACCGATAAAGCTGGCAATGTCATGCCACTTATTTTCTCCGAACACTGGATAGAATTAAATAGATGACAAAACAAGATAAGGTTGATATGACAGAGAGCAGCGTCTGCTTAGATGCAATGTATGTGAGAACTGGTGCTTTCTAGCTACGCAGGCGAAACAAGTAAATTATTATTTGATTCATCATCATTTCGTTCGCATAATTTTGTAAATCTATTTGTTTCTTATTATTTCTCGCATATCTCAATAGTTCTTGTGCTGTTCGTATTTACTTTTATTCTTATTGTGCGTTGGTTTGCTTTCTGACTCTGTTTTGTGCATCTTGATTATTTACTGTTTTGTGTATTCTGTTATAATCTTTCTACGTAATTTTTGCAGAAAGATGGTAGAAATCCCTGAACGGCTATTACTCGTTAGAATGACCCAAGCCTGTGGTCGACTTCAGCCATTGACTTTAATTTAATGTACCTCGATAATGTTGCAAACCAAGAAGGAGATCGTCTCTGTTAATATCTATCAGTGCGTCACTCAGATGTCCAAGCTGATCTTCAGTCATGTCTACGCGCTGTTTCCATTCCCAGAGCATGACAAAGCAGTGACGTACGGGGTTGCAGATAAAGTCTTTAGAGATTGAAAAGATTTCTATCGCGCTGAAGCCAAGCATGAGAGCCAGTTTCTCCCACTCACGTTCAAGTTTTTCAGATATCCAGATCAACGAATCCTGTTGGAACTCTGAGCAAAATAAATGTTAATAGGCTGAAGGATCGAACGAAGAGTTAAGAATGCCGTTGACGTTGTGACAACCCAAGTTCACGGGGCTATCATTGCCAAAGTGAGAGACATTTATATATATCTCTTACTCTCCATATTACTGATGGACCGGGTTGTAAGATGCAATAAAGCATTTCTACTGATCAAAGTGTTTCTGGTGTTTCTGATCACTCATACAAGTAATTGCTGATGTAAATCAATTGGTGATAATTTCGGAGATGGGATGAACATGTGCTAAATATAAATTAGAACAGGTTTGCTACCGGCCACTTATAACTTCAGTGGTGCTATTCGTATCTGAAGACCACTTTCCTTTCTGCATTTTTCCAGAAACATGTGAATGAATTTTGCAATATGCCAAAAACAACCCCATCCTGATTTCAATCAAGTCACTAAAATTAACTTTTATAGAATTTTGTTTGAACCTGTATGATGTAGCAGCGGAGATATTAAGTCAGCTCTGCCGATATTTGCCAGTGCATCGCATAGCTTTCCCAACTGATTCACATTTTTGCTTTGGCGGGAATTCCACTTCTGAAGCATGAGGAATGATACTTCACTGGGTTCGCCTTCCCCCATGCTGGCTATTTCTTCGCTGCTGAAGCCGAGGGAAGTAGCTAGTTCCTCCCATTCAGCACCAAGTTTTTTCGCTGTCTCCATCAAAACTTCCTCCCGTAAAGCTAAGGAAAGAAAGAAATTAGCATTATTTTTAACACGCTGTACATGCAATAGAAATACATGAAATGTTAGGTTTTGAGATTTACGTTCTTTCATCAACACCCCAGAATAGAGAACGAAGCACAAATCGTTAAAAAAGGTATTCAGTGAACTTTTCAATTAAAGCTTAGTTGAAATAAGTAAATTGTCTTGGTTGGTTTGTGCTAGGATTGTAACTAGTTTGATTGAACTCCGAGGCGGCTAAATGGATTTTAGAAAAAAACGACGAAGAAGTTTCTGATGAAACGAGAAACATTTTTTACGTCACCAAAGGCTGTCTGCTGCAGCTTTACACTGAAATGGAAAATAATCAAGGAACGGTTTCAGTGTGTTTGCGGAACAGGCACGCTTAGTTTCGTGCCTATTGTTTTTCTTGATTTTACAAGGCTGAAAACAGTTCTTACCTCGAGTCTTTGGTCCGATGACAATATCCCATTTATCCATTTCTAGATGCATCGATTTGGGAAAGCATGGGAGAAATATGAACAGGTAAGGATAAGGGCAATTCTATAAATTAGGGGTCCAAAAGAGCGACATTTTCGTGTCCCCGTTACATCTTACCTTTGTTACTTGACATGGAAATATCAACGGAATTGATTCCACACATTACTATTTGCTTGGTAGGTAATTTGCATTAATTCATCACTCTTGGAAATGAGAAAATGTGTTCTGAACTTACAAAATCATATGTCACATGTGACAGGGACAGGAAAAAAATGGACCCATAATTTCTAGAATTACCCATAAGACTTGAAGCTTGATACCCTGCACATATGGGGCGGAGGGGTACCGCCCAAAAGGTCCAATCCCTGTACAAACTCTAGACTATCGTTACCTAACACATCCCCCCTAGATGTCTGTAAAGAACTCCTGAGATTCTGATCAAGTAATGACCAACACAAAGCTGGGGGTGCTCTCCGCCCTATATCTTGCGTCATATGTGAGGCTTAGCAATGTGGAGACAGACTACAGACAGGGCTTGCAGTAATACTGTGTGAACAGATCTCTTTGGAAAAGGTATGTGACAAGAATCGGTGAGTGTGAACTCAAAGTTTCGACCAGTGTGCTGTGGTCGTCTTCAGGAGTGGAGATCTATCCACATGGTGTTATAGCAAGCCCCATCTATAGAAATAGGAATGTGCGTGAATCAGCTAATATAGCAATTTTAAAAACAAAATGCTAAACCCTTCAATCTTGCATTCCAATATCACTTCCTCACTTGAAATGCAACTTGTGAACTAATTTTGAATGCCTTTTTCTAGATTAAATTAATGATGTCAAAGTTCATGCTTCCCGCATGTTTTCAAGACCAAATTTTTCACGACCAAATGTACCATTAATCAACAAAGTGAAAGCGGCACTTTGTACCCTGGGGAATGCATTACTCATGTACGTCGCTTACATACCCTTGAGCGGTGTAAAAGCGTGTTTGATTGTTGCAAATCACGTGATATATTCTCGAACAATAAGATTTATAATCTATTACCGTGGAATAACAATAATCGTGTATGCACGTGCGTACACCATGGAACGGTCTCTTGTAGGAAGAGGCATAGAATGGTTCACTAATAAACTCTTAACTTAGTATGTGCTCATTATATTCATAAGTGGCAAGTGGACGCAACGTGTTTGAGCGGTCCATTGCAAATGTATGAAGGAATTTCAGCATTATTTTGTTTCAGCCTAAGCAACTGTTTTGACTTTGGTCTTCTGAAACATTTCGACTGTTTTTCTTTGTTAAAGAGGAGGCTACGCACAAAAGCCCTGAAGTGCAATCATTTATATATTTTTCAAAGGTGTATTTTTCTTCAAATTTATTTCTTTGAAGTACTTTTTCCGAACGTTGTTTTGATGGAGTATATTTCCGACATCGTTTTTACAAGAAATGTGTTATCAGGAGCTCGTTTGTTCAAGATATGTTTCCCCAGTTCGTTCTTATGAGGTTCATTTCACGAATATTGTTTCTGTTTTTGCAATCAAATCATTTTTAACAAATTATTTTCCATGTCTGTTTTCATGAGAAAAAATATGTTCTTCACTTTACTACGTAATGGCACTACAGGGCTTTCGTACCTTTTCTCGAAGGAACCAGGAAATGAATGTTTCTTAGAATCACTTTTTGTATATCTCGGTATTCTTCTTCCATGTATGAAGACTGTTTGACCTTTTTTGAGTTATGTGAACTGAACGGTGCACTTTTTGGAATATTAAAAATTGACTAAGCATTTTTAGACAAGCGAGGGCGCTTTTGCTTTGACGTAAATCCAGGAAAACATGGTTCAGGTGTCATGTTTTCATGGTCAAATTGTGAACCCCAAATTTGCTATCTGGGATCATTTCTGTGAAAAGGATTTTTACTGGATTATTGCCATATACTTACACAGCAATAATTGTCAAAGAAAATAACATCTGCAGCAGCAGTGGTTAAAAAACAATCTAGAATTTTTCTGTGCACAAATCAGTGCAATATTGAGATTCGGCGCCTTGGATGACATCACAGTTCTACTCATGAATATGCAAATATGCATCAGCATAAAACGAAAAAAGCATCAAAATATGGGTTTAAGTTGCAAAACAAAAATTTAAAATCAGATTAATTGACACCCAAAGATGAACTTTCAAGGGTTGTTAGTACATTTAATGAAAGTATTTCTATTTCTTGGTTCCTTTGATACTAGGGATATATTTTCTCAGGAACTGAATAGTTTTAATTGAAGTGGCAGAAAAGGCCTCAATACATGACTTCTATTCCCTCTTAAAGCTTTTGTGGCCAGTCAAATCGGGTGTGTATTTGAGGGTGGTCGCCAATTTATATATCCCCAACACGGGAGGTGGTCACTCTTTGCCACTGAAATGTAGGACCAGTTGGACGAAAAAGAAAAGGCTATCCCCGTATTACAAGCTGCCAGCCTTCTGTCTTTTTCTTCAGAGCCAAAAAGCCTCAGCTATTGCTGACAAGCATTCACTGATAAGACTTTACTCACAGTGTGGTCCCCACTGTCTGAGATGGTTGAAATCTATGACGTCATACAGACCAGATACAATGCCATATTCTTCATCGAACTCCAGAAATCCACAAAATCTGGTCTCTCCGTTGTGAGAACACTCATCCATTCGGAGGTGTATTTCATCTTCTTTTTTTTATTTCAAATTTGAAATGTCTTTAGGGTGGCTCGGAGCAATTACTGAAATAATTCGATCACTTACCTTGCCAACCTTTCAGATGAGAAGCAAGGTCAAGTCTGCCGATCATGTTTAGTGCCTTTGCCAGATTTCTTGACTGATCAACGCCAAATGGCTGCCGCTCTCTCCATTTGATTAGCATATCTAAGGTAAGGCTTCGACTGCTCTTCTGGAAGACGTAGCTCTCGGGGCTGTTAAAGCCCAAGCAAAAAGCAAGATCTCTCCACTCCCGATCAAGCCAATTTGAAATCTCTCGTAAGACCCTATCACTCAGCTCTGACAAGAGAACACTGACTTCATCAGCACTGATGTAACATTTAATAAGTCAATAACTACTCTTTACTCTGTACCTTGGACACATGAAACCTTCTGTAACTCGTAAACAATTACTTAAATATTAAAGGATTTTGAAATACAGACACATTTAAAAAAGACAATAAAAACCTTCAAAGTTTTACCGTCCATTTTGAGGGGAAACATTAAATACGACTAACTGCGATTGCTTGGTATGTCGATATCCCTCGCTTCACTCCTGCAGGGCTCTATATGGCGGTGGACCGCACATGTATAAAGGAATGTGTGTTGATCGTTAAATTTTCATTGAGAAATCTCATTTTGAATTGATACCCCGAAAGTTATTCGAATCAATTTTAGGAGAAATAGCCTTCGCTTAATATCCAGAATATGTTTCTCGGGGATTAAGGGGTACGAACTTGCATTCTGGCGTCTGTGTAGATTTGTCATGTTTGTAGTGCCTTGTTGGTTTTTCGAACAAGCCTCAAGACATACTTTCTCTTCACTATTAAATGCCTTGGACGTTAGTTAGTACAGGCGTGTCATACATAGTGTGGACCTCTGCACAAAAGAAGTCCACATTATGCAGAGTACGGGGATGTTGTGTGGACTCGCACACGTCCACACAATGTTTTCCCCTCGCTGAAAAACAGTTCCAGAGACATTTGGGGGGCAAGGTTATCTGTAGCAAAATGAAGAGGAACAGTCCAGGAAATCACCATCAAAAATCCAGCTCGAAGGAGTTATCCCACTGGGACAAAAAGGAGCATTTACCTTAACCAAAGGAGAACAAAGGATGCCCACACGTCGTAAGTCAAACAAGTGTTGTGAGTGGGTATGGGTGGATGTGTTGGAGGGGCGGTTGACTGCTTATTATATCCCCTCATTGAACGGAAAATAAAATTCCAAAACAGGCTGTTGATTTCCGCAAGATGGGGTGTCTTTCTTGTCAAGTTCAGTGTTAACTGAGAGCTTAAGCTTCAGCTATTTACTGACCAGCAATCACTAATAATACTTGATTTACATTCTGAGTTCAGCTGTCCAGGATGGTGGGAATCTTTTGTGGGAAACTCAACACAAAAATAAATAAATAAATAAATAAATCTGGCCAGTCGGCTATAATAACACTCATACCTTGGGGTAAATATATTTCTTAAATTATTAAGGCATTCGTTCATTTCATATTTAATGTGTCTTTTGCGTAATCGGAGCAATTATTGAAATAATCAGTCACTTACTCCCAAAAAGATTTAAATCATAAGCAAGATCGACTGTGTCGCCGAGATTTCCTGATTCACAGTCTAGTCTCGAACGTCAAGGATGTTGAAGATCTCGAGAAAAAGGGGAAGTATATTTGCAGCGTTGTTTTTATTCGTCTTCAATTATCACAATATTCAAAATATACATCTGTATTGAAAGCCGTACCTTTTGAATAAAATATTCCAGTATGGTCCATTCTCCTCTCGGATCCCTCTCACTCTTGGTGAAGCCAACAGGTCTGATAAATCTGATGTTAAATGAAATGAAAAGCAGCCTGAACTGTCACTTCGCGCAGATCAAGATTCAAGTTTGAAACCCAGCTACTTAAACGTGATAATGAATAAAAGGAATGCCATCGTTACCTGTTTTGTTTGTTTTATTTTTGTTGTTGTTGTTCTACGACTTGCTAACAGAGAGCGGTCTACGACATAGGCGTAAACGACAGGTCAAGACTTGTGGATGTAAAATGTCGGTCCCAATCACGCATGTTCAAAGGATATCTCTAAAAACAAAACTAATGTTTTCAAAACACAAGATTATAAACCTGATCAAAATTTCAGCATGTGTTTCTTTCAATAAGCACATGAGTATACTGAAATGAGTACAATGAGAATTGAACAACGAACAAATGAAAAATGAACAACGCGTGTCACGTGGTCGCGAGTTTTCAAGGGAGAAGTCGAGAACAATCTGTAACATGCATGGAATTGATGTCGTATATGTACGTGATTTTGCACTGGGGCTGTTAGTAGTAGTTGCACATACACGTTTAAATGGTATTTGATTGAGCCAAGGGCGTAGCCAGGGGGGGGGCTGGGGGCACGTGCCCCCACAAATTCCCAGTGCCGCCTCGACTCAAAAAAAAACAAACGGCTGAATGTATATTGAACAATGCTAATAAAAGCTTGCCCCCCCCCAAAAAAAACACAAAACTGACAGCTGGTGTACCCCCATAAGATCCTCCAGCCCCCCTTCTACCAATGATAAAATCCTAGTAACGCCACTGGGTGGAGCCAACTGCCACGTAGGCCACAGAACATTACTGATGCCCAGTATAACAATAACGTCATTCCAGCTACTGTCTGAGCGAATGCTTGACTTTACTCCTCCCCTTGTACCGAATGAGCTGGCGCAAACAGAAACTGGCTTTATACATACTTTATATGTTAGTGTTGTAACAAAGGAAGAGGTTGTGCATTCTGACAAGCTCAGAGTGGTATTTCGGTGCCAGTAATGTTCACATTGTGCACAAGAATACTTCTATAACTTTCCATAGCACTTTTATAACTTTCCATAGTACGCTTTAACTAAGTCTTGCTCCCCCGACAAAAAGATACCGACTACTCTGAGAGATATGTAGCCGGCATAGTCACCCGACTTTTGTTTTGGAAAACTCCCAAAGTCGCCAAAATTTGCAAAACCCTTAAAATGGCTGATATTAGAAAACATCTGCAATGCAATAACCTTCCTTCATGGATATCCCGACATAGGCTACTACAAGAAAGTCTCTGTCTTAAAAATGTTCGTTGCCACTTATGACTGCAATTTTTATTACTTCAATGGAGGTTACCAGACCTACAGCTTCTACACGTCGTCGGAATGGTTAGGTCCTAGAATCAGACTAGCCTCGAGTTGCCTACCAATATACGACAGTGCAAGGTCAATTAGACCTGGTTAAAATAACGACTGAATTGAAATGTTTGGAGAATAACGCAGATTTCCCACATCAATTGTGCGCGTCATAGCGCTCATTGATCTGAAAATGCTTTAACACCTGTGTATATACGTACACATCAATCCGCACTGCCAAAGTCTGAAAACATACCCATGCGTGCATATTCGTGAAAACTGACAAGAATTAAAGGTTAATTTATGTAGCATTAAAATGGCTCAGAGCTGTTTTTATTGATTTTCAGACGATGCCGCAGGTGTTACATAAAAAATCGTCTGCTTTGGTCACGTGGAACTGACTCTCTTTGTGTCGAAAACAACCAAACTGCTAGATGTATGGCCTACGTGCTCTGTCGGAATGTTGATGCACACACTATTGTCAGGCCAAAACGCAGCTATTCATCTTTTGTTTTGGTGGCCTAAAGGGGGACTTGAGAAAGTAACCTCAAGGCTGAATGTTCTTCCAGTTTAAACCACTGTTGTGACGTCAGCCTATTCAGTAAAGTGTCGATTACTCTTAAGAACGTACAGTTAACAGTGCATTCTTAAAAAGAATGTACAGATTTCAAGAATGTATAGTTTGGACATTCTGTTGAGATTAGCGATTTTCAGTTCAGGTGAACCGCTCTTTACGTTGCACTGTACACTCTAAAACTCCCGGGTCAGATTGACCTAGAATTGGGTCAAGACGAATGGCACCCAATTCTAGGTCAAATTGACCCGAGAGTTTTTAGAGTGTATAATTTTTTAATGTGTCTCCTTCCATTGTAGTTTTATTTCATCTTTTTTCATTTTGACTTAGATTTATATTCTAATAGTTATGTATAATTTCCATTATTTTTATAATGTTTCTTTGTGTATTTCTTTTAAAATTCACATTTAGCCACTTTACCGTCGGTTAAACCTCAGTCCTAAATCTTTCTCTGCTTTTGAATAATTTTTGAAGACAACTTCAACAAGGACAATTCATTTACAAATTTGCGAAACAGATTAATCGTTTAGAAACTTAGGCATGTATACTTCCCAGATGAATGAGATGATATTCTAAATGGATGTATTTTTTAAACAGAAGAATTCCTTTTGGTGAATGAAGGATTTCAAAGAGGAAGCATGTACTTCCAAGGTTGTAAACGTGATCTTCACTTGAAGAGACAGTGAAGTGTAGTTTTCAAATCAGTCACTCGGGAAACTTGCTTATTGGTGGTGTAAAAGGTCCTTAGCTCCGTAAAGTCATATCAATAGCCTAAATTTAGCATATCGGCGCAACTAACTTATAGATATAAATCCATTTGGACCGTAAGACAGTGTGTGTGCTGACGGTGTCGACTCCATGTCTGCAGGTAACTTCGTGTAAAGCATGCACTAGTAAATGAAAGACAGTTACCACGGCTTGGGCCAGAAATGAAGCTTTGATGTACATGCAAATGTAAACAGCTAGCCAACGCTGGACAAATGATGGAATGCATCTCATTGCTATCAAAGCATCAGTAAACCCTTTTTGTCCTTTTGTAGAACATGGACAATCATAGCTAGTGGAGCTAGGAGGGACGTGGTTTAAGTCATAGATACAACCCAAAAGGTGGGATTCGTTTATTCGAACGTCTCTAGTTTTTCTTCGTTTCACCTTAATGGAATGCTCGGTAACAACGGGATTTTTCCAAAAGTTCTTCAACGAAGGATTTTTGTACAGATTTATAGAAATGCATACGCATATTATGCATGTAACATACATAGATCGAGACGGATAGTCCACCCCTAGTAAAGCACAAAAAACCTGCTATCGCGGCATACTGAAGCCAACTTTTAAAATATTTTTTGAGTTCATGGAATTATTGAGATGATTTGGGGGTATGCCCAGTAGTTTCCCGAAGACAGGCAAACCAAAATATTTTCTCAAAATTTCTCGAGATTTCTTAAGGTTTACTCAACAGCGACGGTAGGTCGTGTAGTAAAATTGAAATGTCCGATACAACAAAACAGTGGACCATGACTAATGCCAAGATGCCCAAAAATATCAAGACGAAAATCAGTTGTAATGCTGAGGCATATTTTCATTCGTACATATTTAATTCTAGAGTTATTTCAGACCCCTTAGGTCTCTTTTTTGGATTATAGAGTAGTTCAACAACTAAAAAAACCACCAAAGACATCTCCACTATTGCAAATCCATGAACCCATACCTATAAGCTTCAAAACAAAAGTCCTGTGAAATTTCTATATTTCATCATCAAGCTTTCCATCATAGATTTCAAACCATCTCTTTCAACTTCGACTATGTTCTTTGAATTAGCGATTACACGCTGTTACAATAATATGTGATTTGTTAGTTTTTTGTTTATTACTTTCTCCTTTTTCAAATTAATTTTCTGTTTTGAATAATGCTTACAAAGACGGTTCAAGCGGGCTTCATTTATATACATGCAACTATATGTATTACTTTTGAAATGCGGTGCAAACTAACTCCCTGAAGATTACTGTCGCTAATATCAAAACAAACCGGTTGAGCTAAGGATTTCTTTTGTACACAACGATTTAAAACGACACAGCACTATCTATTAATAGCAGAGCTAGAATTGACAAAACATGACAAGATCGACCTCTCTGACATGATTTGAAATTCTTCTAAAAATGCAGAAACCCACGGTTCCAGACCAGAAACAGTTTCAGACCAGCATTTAAACTTCCATGGAAGACGAAAGTAATCACCCTTAATACGTTACAAAAAGCTTTATAAACCTAGAACCTCCGAAAATACAGCTCTGAACACTCTCAAACACGCATCCAATTATAGATGTTTATTTAAAAGTCTTTGCAAATTTTGTCATCATTAAGAGCCATGAAATGAAATTTCTTTGTTACGGATGATCCACATCAAATCGCACTGCAGAGTCACATTGCCGTTTTGAAAAAAAGTCCTCCAATTCACTGCTATTTGGGAAACTTATTTCATCAAAATATACCAGATTGACAAAAAATCCGATTTACATGCGCAATTAAATGACAAAGGATACATTTCTTTACTATAATGGCTCTGGCATATTTGGGCAACGACACCCTCCATGAGAGAAAAAAGAGATAATTTTTATTAAGTAGCCAAAACCCAGACACTGGCCCTTTTACCAGACTGCC